AAAACACAATTGACATTGACGATTTTTAACTTAATTATCATCGGTCCAGAGTTTATTATCTAAATATTTGTACTAAAACACTCATTTGTTTATTTATATCCATAATCACAACTATGTGCAATGATATCGCATGCATTTTGCAGCTGGATGCAAAGTTCAATAGAATGTATTTCTATTCTACAAACATTTAAATGCATTCTCTAAAGACTGAACGTTAAATTAAATGAGATGTAAATTAACCAAACATTGGCTAAATAGGGTACCTACCTACCTAATAGATTATGGGTTGCGGGGTAAGCGCAATGAGGCACCGCGACCTCGGCCCAGAGCAGGAGAAGGAACGGGGGGTTTTTAGTCAGTAAGAGTCTGACACTCCCTCCCGCCCGACCCTGGGCGGGAGAAGTCATTTGATGATTTACCCCTGACAAAAAAAACCTAATAGATAGTTTAAGTATACATATATCTACAATTAATTTATTTGTTGGCAGATTTAAGGTGATTAGGCACCATAGTAAGACGATATTCTTAAAGGTTTGGATTTTACTTCAGGCACCATAGTAAAAAGAAATTCAATAGCGTAAATACAATAATATTATGGATATATTTTGATAATAATTCTATAATTTTAAATATCCTCTTTCGGTATTTCTAAAAAAATGTTCGTTCACCTATAAGTATTTTTGTCCAATAACAATAATTCTCAAATACGTACCGTACGAATGAATGAGAAAATTTTAAAAATCCATAATTGTGCAAACTAGCGTAGCTTTATCCATCACCAAAGTCTCTTGAAGGAAATGAATGAATAAAACCTAATAATAGAATAGTAATAATGGACTCAAGCAAAGATATCAATATATAAAAAGAAGCAGAAAATATTAAAAAACATACCTGTTAAATTGATCTAGAATTTTCTTTAGTTTACATTATTAAGGAATTCATGTCAGCTTTATTTGAGATAGAATACATATCTATGTGGTACACATCTTTGTTATTATAATATACTAGCGAACCTCTCCGGCTTAGCACGGGTGCAATGTTGTCACTTAATTTCTCCACTATTTAATAGATGTTATTCTAATTATATAATAATATACATTAAACCTTAAATCACTATCTATCTATTTAAACAAACGCATCAACATTTCCATCCCGTTGCGTAGTATTAACACAGTAAATGCCATAGGGGTCACTGGTGACCTCCGTTAGCGGAGGATTTGCCTTCAACAGTTTTCTGTCGGCAGTCAAAGGCTTAAATATTTAAATATAGGTAAATAGGGATATAGGGACGGAAAAAGCGACTTTGTTTTATAGATTTTATACTATGTAGTGATGTAATATAATTATGAACTGAATAAACCGTGATCTACTTAATCCATTCACATTTTTTGGTAACGGAGAATACTAATTATTTAATGATTTTATATTTGGGTTTAGTAATGAGTGTTATTTTTGATGAAGTAAAGTATGAAATACTTAAAGTAATTGCGTATTATTCGAATGAATCCTATCTTCGCAATATGTCTTTGCAGAGAGGTAGAGTCTTCGAAATAACTTTCGCGCCATACCTAATTTAAGCTATATTTGGCTATCGATTTACGTGATTAACAACCATGGCATGTCTTTTTATCTAAAAGTTGATTAAAAATTATATTAGTAAAATTTTTTTGTTAGGTATTTCTCCAAATTGGTTTAAACTAAAAAACTAAAAGAATATTTTTGTGTATTTTATGCAATTAATTAATTATAATATAATAAGGTAGTTTACCTTTAGTTACAGTTACCACCTACACCGATTGAACGCGCAACAGACTATAAATTATTATTTATCTGTCAATGTTGTCAGTGCATGACAGAATATTCCAGAACCAATCAGAGCACTTGACATTAGTTTAATTTTAACATTACATTCGATTGCTTTTATAGGACAGTCTACGGCTTGTCTGCGGTCTGTGTACTTTATGACTAGTCTCAATGTAAAATAATACATACCTTATATATCTATTTGTTTGCAAGCAATAAAAGGTTAAATTTTGCCGTAATTATAACATCTTAAGTATTTCATAGATTTTTGCCAATTCGACAAAGAAGGTAGGTATATTAAGTTTTTTTTTGTGACGAGAAAATCATCAAATGACTTCTTCCGCCCAGGGTGGGGCGGGAGGCGTTCTTTCTTCTGCTCTAGGCCAAAGTCGCGGTGCCATATTGCGCTTACCCCCCTGGCTGAACATCAGGCCTATGGCGCCCCGTTTGTGGTGGTTTAATATTAAGTTACGGAACTTAATGTTTACCGGGATATTTAAATTTTAAATTATTGATGCCTAGATATCCATGCAAGTGATAATGTCAAACAAAACGCCAAAATGATCTGGTTATCTCGTCAAGATTATAATCATAAGAGTGAATCATTTCATTAGGTATAATATTTATGATATCAACTTTGCTTCTTTTAGATATTGTGTTTGTATGTGCATGTATAGGTATGTAGGTATTGTCTATTTTCGTTTTCGAATACAGATCGAGCCAACTAATGTAATTATGAATGAAATAGAAGTGAGTATGGATGGATGGATAGATTTTTGTTACTCTTTCATCTAAGAACTACTGACTATAAAGGTTAATAAAGGTTAACCTTTAGTTCCTACAGTCTGGAAAACTTATTAGTGATTTACTCTGTAAATTGCAATAACATTTCGTTTCCACAAAACTGTCAAGTTTGACATTAGACATATTTGACAGAAACAAAACTGTCACTATTAAACTGACATTGTTAGTTGTTTATTTTGAAGCGGTAGGTACGAAGTTCGTCGAATTAGCTAGTTAGGTATTAACTAAAAAGAAGATACGGTGTGGTTTTAATTGAGTAAGAGCCACTTGATGATATCCCTCACTTAAAAAAGAACTAAATTCTAACTAGCCTTTGACAAGTAGCAAGTAACCTCTAAAATATACTAAGAACTTTTAATACAGAGGCACAAAAAGGCCTTAGTGCAGCAGCAGATCATATAAGCTGATGAAGGTAGGTTTTACCACCCTTAGGTTTTCCATCAGGCCATCTGCATTGAGTACTTTATTAATATCCTCCATGTTATGATCCTTAACTCTGCATCTTCAGTCAGATGATTTATTTGTAAAACGATGACCAAAATCACGATTGTCTTTTGTTACTTAAGCCTAAATAATAAGAACAATGTGCTTTGTTTGAGTTTAACATAAACATAACGGAATTAAATAAAAACATCTTTTTAAAATGTTAAAAGAGGATACAAGATATTGAGAACTTCCGTTTGACAAAAAGATCAGGCCCTTAAATTACGTTATCAGCCTACACCCGCCCCTGCTGAGGGAGAGGGGCGAGAGGAAGTGTCAGACTCTTACTGACTAAAACCCACCGCTTTCCTTCTTATAAAATATAATAATAACTAGCTTTTGCCCGCGATTTTGTTCGCGTGGAAGAGTGACTGCCCGCTGATTTTAGGTTTAAAAACTATTCTATGTCCCTTCTCCAGTTTCAAACTATGTCTGTACCAAATTTCACAGAAATCAGTTCAGTAGTTTAGGAGTGAAGAAAAAGTAGACAGACAGACAGAGTTACTTTCGCATTTATAATACCTATTAGTTTGGATTAAGTTTGGACTAGATGACCCGACGAATTCAGTACCGTCTCAAAACAAACTACTATTTCAAAGTTAAATAGCTAGAACAGTTTTGTTTCTGTCAAATGTCACATAACATACATTTATTACATAATCAGCCTCTAAGCCTATTGCTGAGCAAAGCCTTCTGCTTACGTTGAGAAGGTTTGAGAATTAATCACCACGCTTGCTAAAAGCGGATGCCGATTTCAAACTTATAACTAGAAATTATAAATCAAGTATCCTCACGATGTTTTCCTTCACAGTATGTCATTGGTGTCAGGTCCTGGCTATAGCCAAGTTAATTTATCAAATTTTTCTTTCACCCTAACTTTACCGCAAAGATAACCTATACGACAAAAAATATATCCTATTCGGATGAATACACCGATTACACTACAACCACGAGCGTACATTGGCATTGTAATACACCTCCTCTAAAAACGTCTATTTTACCTACCTAAATCCACACTATACAATAAACACATACATATGTATGTATGTGTTTATATGTGTAAATATATTAAGTAGTATGTGTTTTATAAATATATGTATATAAGTATAGTTCTATGTACTTTATGTATGTTTATATAAACCTATGTTATACTACTCTATTTCGCTTGCTTCTTGCATCTACTACTGGATTCTCTGCATCACCCAAAGGTCGACTGGTAGAGAATGCTCAATGCATTAAGTCCGCCTATGTACATACAAATTGTGCATGAAGTATAAATAAATAAATAAATAAATAAAATAAATCAATTTCTATTTATATAAAGATATTTTCTTTCAATTTTAATTACGGTAACAAATTACAACAATTACAAAATAGTAGTACCTGCTAAGTAGATAGTGGTATACCGGCTTATTTGAAAGCAGGTTGGTTGAAGTATCAAGGGCCGCATTAAAATTCTCATATGAGAAACAAATAGGATTTATTCAAAAGCTGTTAAAAATATATAGTGGAGCTTTCCTTAGTTTATTCACGTGAGAAGGCAAGTCGTTGTTTTCAATAAATTAATTTAGTATTTCTCACGATAGTTTCTATACAAACGCTGTTGTTTGGTATTATTTTCTAACAAAACAACATAAACTGCTCTCTGTAGCACTTAAAAAAATAAGACAGTAATTAGTCCGTGCATTAAAAACCGCATACCTTCTATAAAGATTTACGAAACTGACAAAGTTTTCAAGTCTAACAAAAATTAAAAAAGTGCTGTCAAAATCACTAAATATTTAAAAAAAATACGACACCACACACAAAACTGCTACTTATTATCATTTAAGACAAACTTACAAAACTTTACCATAAACTAAAACAAAAATTAACACTTTTATATTTTATAAACTCCCGAAAAATATTACGATCGTAAAGATGGCGGCAGGTTTTCCCGCGTAACGCAACGTGTCGATGCCAACCGACAGCTGATCGATTACTGGCCAGTAACAAATACGAAGGTCGCTATTTTGCCGATAGTTGGTTACACCTTTTTGATATTGATAACATTTAACAACAACAATTGGTGTTGCTCTGTATGTCATTGAACTAAATAATGATTATGAGATTGTTATGAATTGCATCGTTTTTTGATAATATTGTTTTGAGGGCAGGTTCTGGCTTAATTAATTATAGAAGACTAATTTCAGTTTATTTCTCAATGACGCGTTATAAACTAAAGAAACCTGTATTAAAATAAACATCACAATTTAAACATTAACACAAATTAATAGAAAAAATGTTAAGTGCGGGAGCACCATGCTAAGTGTGGGAGAGTCATGCTTCGGCACGAATGGGAGTGATACACCGGCCTCACAGAAACCCAGAGTGGAACAATCACAGCGTTGTGTGATTAAGGTTACCGGAGGCTCAATCTTTCCCCTCCCCCATCCCTAAATCTCGAAATCCCTAATCTCCAAAAGGTCGGCAACGCACTCCTAACTCCATGTCTATGGGTGGCGCTGATTTACCATCAGGTTATTCGTGTGCTCGTCTGCCGACCTATCAAATAAAAAAAGCACTGATGATGATTGGATGTCGGATGCGTTACTTGATAATCAAGTAAAATATTTAAATTACGCAAACAAAAAAAAAATGCAATCGCAATATCTCAGAAAGCACGAGTTAGTTTTTATCGATACATCGCATTAAATTTCCATACACGGATTGCAAATCAAATGATTATAAAACGTCTACATCTGACATCTGACGTCAAGATGCTGGCCAGCGAGAATTGAACGTGACACGATAAGTCACACTAAACAGTAACACACGCAAATTGTTATTACATTGTAGATATCGATAATCTGATTGCAAAATTATCATCTTTATAAGTTAAGATAAATTGTAGGCATATCTGAACATCAATTTTGATTTTGACATATCAATGACGTAAGTGTCAAATGTCATAACTTCCTTATTTACTCTGTGTGCGTCATCTTTGGCGCCAACTTTGTTTGGAGGTGAGAAAAACATATATTTGCTTAAAAGTCCAGCAATTTTATAAATAAAATAAAAAGAGAATAACAATGCCATAGATTTCATCTTCAGTATGAACAGCTCATTAACGTCTCCCTAAATGCGTATTGTGTTTTGTGATACTCTGAATTCAGAAATTGACAACGCAATAATATGACGTATTTATAGTTCTCCCACGTGGTTTCCGGTGAGTGGTTCATCAGTGTCATAGGCTCGTGTCTTAACCTTAGATTTGATAACCTATGCTTGGACTGAGGTAGACCATTTATAGCGTGACTACTAAATGCACAACGCTCGTTTGGTATCAGCGTATTCTCCGTACATTAAAAGCTACGTATATGTATAATTAGCTATTCTCGCGCGGTTTCACCCGTAGCTCTATTTCATTGTAGCGTGACGTTTTATAGCCTATAGCACTCAGGAACATTGCAGCTATCTATCAGTGAAAGAAATTTGGCATTCCGACCAGCGGTTCAAAGATTACCCCCTACATACAAACTTACAAACTCACAAATTTTACCTCTTTATAATATTAGTATAGATTATAGCTGGCATAAACGACAGACGTTGGTTTTTGAGGGAAAAACCATCAAATCACTTCTCCCGCTCAGGGTGGGGCGGGAGTTAGTTTCAGACTCTTACTGACTAAAAACCGCCACGTTCCTTCTCCTGCTCTAGGCCAAGGTCGCGGTGTCTCATTGCGTTTATCCCGCAACCCCGGCTGAACATCAGCCCTATAGGAACCCGTCTGAGGTGGAAAACGATAGACCAACGTTGTATGTCTTGCTGGCACGGAGGTTAAGGCGCCCGTTTCTCATGTATGAGTGAAGATTGGTAATTTAGCAAGAACCAATTGGACTTATCTCGATTTTTTATGTCCTTTCTATGATTATTTGGACATCACTATAATATGGTGAAGGAAAACATTATGAGGAAACCTGGACTCTCTCTGAAACTGGAATTTCTAAATAATATTCGCTTGAAAATGCCATTCCGTCTTTGGCAAGCGTGGTGATTAATGCTCAAGCTGTCTCCGTGTGAGAAGAGGATTTTGCTCATCAATGTGCATTTATAGCGTTGGTGTTGCTCTATAATTATGATACAAAAATTTCTTTTCTTATGTTATTTCTCCCTTTACCAGACGTTTGTTCAGTAGATGGTAAAATGCCTTTTACAAACGTTCATCTAGAGCGTTGTCATTTAGATAATTAGGTATGTGTCATCCGTGCAACTATGATGTATTAAAATACTTAATACGTCATTGCAATGCAAACGCATTCTGCAATGACAATTAATTGGAATTATTCAGCAAGGTTCACGCTCGCTGGTTGGAGATCGCAATATAAAAAGTTAAGGTTTTTTATATGCTCAAACCTTCTCCGTGTGAGAAGAGGCCTTTGCTCAGCAGTGGGCACTTATAGGCTGATGATGATGATGATGATGATGATGATGATGATAGAGCGCTGAAGCCCTTTCTCTGTCAAACAAACGTATTATGTAGTAGGTACGTAAGTTGTCTTTTACGCCATGGAGTTTGGAGTGGTGAGAAAGTCCACTCTGATATTACCAGAAAACTGGTTATACGTAATCTTGGTAAAAAAACATTAAGGGCTGATTTTTCAATAGTCAGATTTATGTTATCTGAGGAATACAATTGTTACTGTCACTGTCACCACCTGTGACACCTACAAACATTCTGACGCGTCAACATCGTCATTATTCCCCAGATAACTTTTATCTAACCATAGAAAAATCTGCCCTAAGTACATTAAAATTAGTCTTTAAGCATTTGACAACCGTTTTTGCCGACAAAAACTGTTGACGGCTAACCCTCCGCTAGCGTCGGACAACATCGTCCGACATGGCGTTCTAAGTGTTAAAATAGTTTTAACAGCAAAAAGTCGAAAAACCATACAGTTTAGGAACCTTTTCACTGATTTAAAATAAACTCTTTTACAGATTCGTAGTCATGCCTAAACAAACTAATCGTGTATCAATAAAAAAATCTAAGCGGTTAAAGTCTGCAAGTTGCAAGTTTTAAAAAGCCTAGTAAAAATTTTCTTGTCACTTTTTCTAAGCACGTGCTTATGAAATCATTGACACCTGTTTAGATTTAATATCTTTAACAATATAAAGATTATGAAGATATTATTATGATAACAAATCGATAATCTTGACAACAATAAAATTGATTCCTATCGCATTTCAATACGTTTTTAGTAGCATTGAAACATTTATTTTGCTGTCACTGCTATCACACTGTTTTCCGCCATCTTAGTTTTATATTTCCATTTTGCCGCGTACCTAGCGTGGAGGTTGAAGCATTCGGTTTTTAAATATGCGAGTTCGAAAAAGAACAAGTAGGTTCTAATTTTCCTAGTTTTGTAATAATAATTATTAGATGATTTCCATTTTTAAAAGCAGTTTAACTACACGGGTTTTCTTACAAATTAAGTTGAAAATCTTGGAAGTGCTGAGACGGTTTTAATTAAATTTGGTACTCATATGCCTATGAGGACGTATATAATATCAAGATATAAAAAGAAACTTAAGAACATTATCGATAAATTATTTCAGTGAGCAGTTTATTAAGTAGGTACCTACATATGTTTGGAAACATAAAATAGTCTTTCTCTGTCCCTCTAAACAAGTTTTCTAAAATGTTGCATAGAACTACGATATATCAATACGAAATGCCTAGTCTTAGTAGCGGAACCAAATCCTTTAAATAGACATCTTAGTTTTTTCCTGACAACATTTTCCTAGTATTGTCATGCAAAAACTTCTGATTACAATCACGATTGCGTATAATCTTCGAGACAAAAATGGTTTTTAATTTAAATTACAATAGAGTTGTGTATCACGTACGCACAAACACGTGGTTTAGTCAATAATCACTCCGATTGCTTGTGCGCAAGTTCGCGGCAATCTGACCTTTATGGAAAGATACTTATCGTAATGTTTTCTTTTATCTATATCTTGAAATAGGCTTCCTCATATTGTTCATATTGCCCGTGACATCGATACAACTTATCGACTCAGTGCCAAATTTAGAATCAAAATAGTTTTGGAAGTTTGACGACACATACAAGCTTGCTACTTTTTTGAAGTCGATTATAAACTGTCGAAATAATTTTGGCGAGTAGTTAGAGAAACGACTCTGAGCGAGACTTTTTATCCCGCTTGGCCAATGAAGCTGTATATTTCCAAAATCAAATCTTTCCTCTTCATAATGTTAATAACAAAAGAGAGTGTTGGAGAGCCACGCTTCGGCACCATTTGGCCGTCTCAATCGGAGCGATGCCAGAGCCTAACAGAAAACCGGCGTGAAAGAATCAGAGAATTTTGTTTGAGTTAGGGTACAGGAGGCCCTTCCCAATTCCGAAATCCTTAACCCCCAAAAGGTTAGCAAGACAATATTGCGGCGCCGATTGCTGACTATCAGGGACCCAAGTCTATTACTATTTTCAAAGCGTTGTCATTCCTGCACGATTCCATTGTCATTTTGCTAAAAGCTCGTAATCTGTTAATTCAAAATGGCTGATCATTGGCGGTCGGCGATGTCGTAATAGAATTCTATAGTTCTATAGTACGAAATGAACTAACTATGACTAATGGACTAACATTTTTTTTTATAATTTTCCTCATTATGTTAAATATTCATTTGTCATTATGTACGAGATTACCGTTCTAAAGAATTATTTAAATGAAGTTGCATTGGTTGATCATCGGAAAGTCATAATGACGCTATTATGTTAGATGTTAGTAGATTACCGAACTTGTCAAAATCAACAATTTTGAAACCAATGAGTTACTATTCTGACACTATTGTAATAGCAGACTCGAGGCCCTGCGTCTGCTCGTTTGCCTAATAACTACTTACAAACTACATAAAAATATAGATAAGTTTTCCTCATAGGTAATTCTATTTGTGGCTCAGCAACAAATATCTATACATTGGAAAATACGTCTGCTTACGTAGGTAAGGTAACTTACCAACGTTTTATATTTGGACAGTTTTTAGCAAAGAACCAATGCAAATATTTGCTCAATGCATTCTAACTAAGATTAT